AAAAAATGTCACATTTTTAAATATGGTGTGCCAAGTTCACACAAGTCGTCAACTGTAATGGAATAGCTCGATTAATTGCAGCTCGACCGCATCAATGTTCGACATCGTATCTCAATTGACCTTATCATTACAATATAAGTTAAGGTTTAGTGAATTCATATCAGTCTATATTTTTTTAAGCTAATAACAAGCTAATAACAATTTTTTTTTAAGCTAATAAGATCTTTTTTAAGCTAATAACATATAAAGTTTGTGTACTGAATATTTGTCTTAGGCGTGTGAACTCGAGAGGACTTCAAGAAAAGTTTTTGTACAATATTTTTTGAGAAAAATTGTTGCTAAAGTATTAGAGATTGTAAGTAAGCATTTTATTTAAATATTACTTAATATATTCAGTTATATTTTTTCTTATCTAATAAAAACAAAATGGAGGTTGGTTGTGGAATCTACCCGTAATTAGTGTTGATAAAAATAACGCCATAGCCTAAGGAAAAATTCATACCTTGGCAATAAAATAGAAACTAGTCGACTATCACCTGATCACTAGCACAAGTTCTGATTGGCTTCTGCTTTTTACTTTTTTGCCAAGATATAAATGTGCCCATAAGAATTCACTTCAGTATCTGTGCCTGATGTTAAATTAAATGTGTGTGTGTGTGAGAGAGATATGAAATAAGTTATATCTACCGTTTCTCTAAATCTATACATAACTTTTTTGTGTCGGACTCGGTAAGAGGGAAGCAAAAAATAAAAATCTGATTAAAATTGTTCTGAATTTCATTAGCTTTCGTTAAAAAATCAAAGAGAGATTGCAAGGTCAGTTAAAATTTCGAAGCTGTAGCCTTTTTTGGAACATAAAAAATTTTCATTTGACCTTACTATGCCGCGGAATACATGTGGAGTTTTTCCCTCCTCACCGCCGGAAGTACCCACGCGAATGCCATTTCATTAGTCTAATGGATTTCGATGCTCGAGACTGTAATCCGAAATTTTTTGCGGACCGTCGCACGGAAAATTGGGTAATTTATGGAGATCCAAAGTGACGAGAGAGGGAGAAGTTGACACGCGCGCGAAGAGACACTCACGACGATCCGACAGCTTTGGAAATGGAGTCAACTTCCCGCGAACGATTAAAAACAATGAGAAAAGGGGTGAGAAAAGAGAAAAACGAAAAAGAGGTGAGAAGGAGAAAAACAGCGGAAGGGGGAGGGGAGAAGCTCGGCCGAGTGGCGGAAACAACGGCAGAATCCGGACAATTCAGGAACAACGCAATTACTCTATCACAATAGACCGCGTCGAGTTGCGAGCTCTTCGGCGTGTACCGGCATCTTGCTCGGCCGAACAAACTCGCGAGGCCAGAGTGGAATTTTCGCGATCCTTTTTACCGTTCAATTAATCGTCCCGGGTACTTGGAGGAGCGTCGAGAGCCTCGCTCCTGCCGAAATCGTCTCAGATAGAAAACGTGCCGACAGATAGATGTACGTATGGTCGTTCGTAGAATGATTTCGAGACTTTTTTCTTTGTTGAAATTAAAAGCGCACCAAGTTGTCACAGTTGCGAATGGTTTTCCATTGGTCCGCGTGATAATCGATTACGACATAGAATTGGATATCAGTTGATTGAAATTTTCCTTGACTAAAATAATCGACAAATCAGTAATCAAAATAAATTAACCGTCAAATATGTAATCACCATTTAATCAGTTAATAAAATTAATTATTAATCAAAGTTTGATTTGATTGATTGCACAACAATTAATAATGAATTTTATCAATTGATTATTATATTCGTATATAATTGTATATATTCGTATATATTCGTGTGATTACATGTATGGCGATTAGTAAGAATTATAGATTTGTCGATTATTTTAGCCAAGTAAAATTCTGATAGATTAACACCCTACATTGATTTAAGTGATTACAGGACTCTGACAGGAGTAAAAATTAAATAAAACTTAAGGAGTGGTAAAAAGTTATAAATTAATGGGAGTATATTTTGTCATGTATATGTATATTAAATATATTTAATCATATATTTTGGTATAAAAAGATTAGATTTTATGGTGAGTATTAACATCCATTTCAATCTGTAAAGAAATTATATCTTATCTTGGCAAATATTTTGGCTTTAATAAGAGTGATCTGAAATCAATACATTTTACTTTTCTTCATTAGAGTTATAGTTATTGGTTCGCAGATTAAAAAAAAAACAATATTTCGCGAAATTGAAATAAAAAATCAAATTTAATCTTTTCACTGAAAAATTCGAGCTTGTAAAATAAATAAATAGAAAATCATTTTAAAATTTACAGAAATCAATAACTATAATCCCTACGTGGAAAAAAGAGATGTGGTACACCTAACAAAAAATATTTGTAAGCAAATAGCTGTATCATTCTTTGTATA